CCGCCCCCCGCTGCCCGCAGCACCAGCGAGTCCGCCTCGGGCCGCGCCGCTCCGTCCATGCCGCCTCCGCACTCGCGCAGCGGCCGCGCATCTCCGGGGCAGAGCGGGGCCCGGGGGGGCGGCGGGGGGCGGGGGGGCCGTGCCAATCGCTCGGGGGTGCCCCAGCCCTGCCCKGCCCTGCCCCGGCCCTGCCCCGCCGCAGGAGGACGCGGCTCTCGGGGCACAGAGCCGGTGTCTCGAATTGCGGGCAGAGCTCGGGCCGTGCGGGATCACGAGCTCACTGCTCTCCGTGCTCGCACATAACTTAGGGGAATGAACGTCCGCCCCTGCCTGGGGCTGCCTGGCAGGACCCGTCCCTCCGCGGGGATTTATCCAGCAGCGCAGGCAGGGCAGGGGAATACAACGATGGRCTCGGTGTCCATCCTGACACCCCCGTCGAGTGGCACCGCGGCTTGCAGGGGGCTCCTGCTTCCGTCCCGACTGCAGACCCGGGCAGCCTTTCTGTGAGCAAGACTCTAGACTAAGGTGGGAAAGACTTTTCCCACGTTGCCAAGGCTGGGGAGTGAAGGTACCACAAGACTTGTAGCGGATTAAGATGTTAAGGATGTTTCCACAGCCTTAGGAGGTTTAGATCTGACACGCCACACTACTGCTGTGCATAGGATGCGGATTAGACGTGCTACCTGGGGAAGATAAAAGCTTTCAGCTATTATGTTTGAAGGGTCCTACGTGCAAACATGGAATTTTGAACTTCTAAGTGTTAAATGACGCCTTCTAGTTGTCAATGWTGAGTATTAAGTGCATCTGGGAACTGTTCCCAGGTGACTGTAACTAATATGGGTGTAAATCTGAGCTGTTTTCACTTCTGATATGTTACATACCTCAGAACTAGCTTAGAACTCTTAAAAACATGGTAAGTAATGCCACTGAGCAATGCATACTGGAAAGCAGTTTATGATGCAGCAGCTTTGAAATATTGTTGGCTTAGATCACTCTGTGCAATGTTTGAATAGAAAGCCAGATGCTACTCATTAACATATAAAATTACTATACATGTTGATAGACGACCTGGGCAACATTTATAATCTCTTTGAATGGTCACAAGCAGTAAAAGAGTCAAGTTAGGGGAATCAAGCCCCTGGAATATATAGAGTGTATTTGAGGTGAGTTGGACACCTSTATTTTGTTTTGTTTCATGCTAAATAGCAGTGCAAATGGCTCAGGTCATACACATACACAAATAATGGCTACATGTGATTAATATGTACATCGTTTCTCACCTTAACACACTCACAGTTTTCACTGTTGRTAACTTAGAGAAATTAAACATACCCTATTCAGAAAAACCCCTAAGTATTCACACAGGTTCCAAATAATTCTTTTCTATCTCCCATCCCCAGATAGCAAATTAATGTCTTGACAGAAGATTTGATGAATTGACTCACCATTTTCTTCTTCACTGCATTATTTTCTTTCATCACGCCGTTGCTTTGCTGTTTATTGTCCATTCTGTTGCCTTGTTAGGAAATAGCTGAGGAAGAAAAGAGGGAGAGATGTGTTACTGTTCAGGAGGGGAAAAAGACACAGGCTCCCTAGAAGACATGCTGTCACTATTAGAGCAGGAAATTCAGACCCACTGCAAGTACAAAAGAAATTTAGTCAGTCAGGTGGAACTACATTACAAAGGCTGGGTTCCAGCCAGGGTATTTGGATTAATTGTTGGTGTGATTCTAATAATTATTAGACCTTATACCAGCTCGGTCATTGCACATTTGCAAAGAAGGAMTCCATTTATTTACTGTTCTGTCAAGCAAATTCTTGCCTGTACATCACCATGTATACTTGAATAATGTTAAAGGACATTTTAATCTTAATTTATTAAGAAASAAAACTGATTTGTGGTTTTTCAGAGAGGATCTGATATTTACTCGGTGCTTCACTGTATGATCTTGGGCAGTCTGCCAGTTTGTTCAGTTGATTTGGAAYATGGATTACTGTGTTCTTCTGCTTCAATATCTTGACACGACAGCACACTTCAAGATTTTTGCTTACATGGCTGTTATGGTAACGACAGACCCTGTCCTGAACACAAGTTGTCTTCCAGACAAGAGTCTGCAAGAGAGTGAGTTACGAGACACAGGGACTATTGGGCAGTTTGGTGAAACAGCACACTGGACTGTTGAGGCCATCACATATAAAAGAGATTTTTAAGATTAAATCACTTCTGTGACACATTGGCAGTACTGGGGCCATTCTATCAGATGGTTCCAAGAAATCAGTCTGAGCTTTTAAGTAAGAGAACCTAGAGACGTGAGAGCATCCCATAAGCAGTAAAGCCAGAAAAATTACCTTCTTCCCTCTCCATTTACCAGTGCAATCAATATTAACAACCTGCAAACAATCTCCTTTTCCTCTACTTCAAAGGGCCTTAGAGATTTCCTGCTAAATTATTCTGCAAATAGTTCTTTCATGGAAATGTATTTCACTTTATAGGAGAGAGGCTTAATCTCATCAAACAGTCCTCCTGTCCCATGCCATGTATAACAAGTATATGAAAAATAACCTGTTCACTGAAGCTCCTACATCCCATACAGATTTCATATATGGATAATGCAGATAATTAAATTAATGAAGGTTCTGACAGAGCACAAACAAAGCATCATCAAAGTGGAATTTAAGAGCTGAGAAGATAAAGAGTATGTGGGTCATAGCACTGAAAGAGAAACACAGTCAGAAACAATCTGCTAASCATCTCAGGAGACATAACCTCACAGCTAAAGCACTAGAAGGGATAACTGGTGTCTGCCTTTCCTCACTGCATTTATTTTTATATGGCWGAATTTCTTTCAGAACTTATTTAAAACATTTTAGGGTATGTCTGTGGTGTCTGGAAGATTTAATTGCTAACAGTGCACCATCTGCAGAAGTGTTTACACTGAGCTATCCTCCCCATATTTCAGATAACCCTCTTTTTCTTTTTCAACATATCAACTTGACTGTAGCAAAAGAAATGTTACCATATCCAGCACAGATATTCTAGTTGATGAAAAAAATAAGAAATCTGAGCTAGGAATGGAGTAGAAGTTACTGAAATACTGCATGGATTTGCCAATGTTATTTTTGCACCTTATTGACTTGTGTGTAGGGAAGAGAGAAGCAATTACAGCAAACAGAAACCTGATCTTCAGATTGCAGTGTTTGACAAAATTTGAGGAAGTGATGATCCACTTAGGGGAATGAAAGGCTCACATTTGCTCTGATGCTGTTGTTTACCATTCACYAAAAACTTTAATAGATAGTGTGGAAAAGTGTATTCCTTCCCTCTGAAGTTCATCTTGCTAGTAGCAGGGAAAGTTGTTAAAGTTTTTGATTCAAAGATTTTTTCTTTGTCACAGCAGATTGGATTTTTCTGCTCCATTGTTTGTACAGTTAGTCAGGAGGCRACTCTCAAATCAGGAAAGGCTCATTTATGTCAGGCCAGGGGGCATCTTCCATTTCAGCTACAGTTTGCTTATCTACTTATCCAACAGTTTATTTAGCAAGGTATGGGTTGAGTTCATAGGTAGAACGTGAATCCAGCTGAGTCCTGTGAATTGTTAGCCTTGGCAAGGAAGGCTCAGCAGTTCACAAAAAAGGAACATTATGACTGGCACAGCAAACTGACTTGGGAGAGGTATGAATAAATCCACTGTAATCCATGTCTATTGAACATTCAACTTTCATTTACAGACTGCAAGTCAGGAAAAAGCTGTTGGAAAGCTGTCATGTTCAGAAAAAGCAAATATGCAAAGGGAGCAGTGCAGACAAACTAAGAATTTAAATAACCATATTTGCTAAGTCAGATGATGAAATCAC